TGCATCATGTGAGTCTCCACATAAGCCACACCTAAAGCCAGCCCTGTCCTGGGACTGTCCAGTTTTATGCGCTAATTCATTTGGGTTTTGCTCAAGCCAGTTCGGGGGAGGTTTCCGCCGATTGAACGAATCATGTCTGATAGGCTTCTTGATGGTGTGTGTGAATGACTCATGTCTGGGCTGCTTTGCTTCCTAAAGCTGTGGCATTAACCTTGATCTAACCAATCTCTGCAAATGAGAGAGTTTCCCCATCCCCCTTTCCTACACCCTGGTAGGGAGGGAGTTCTATGTCCAGTGTTAAGTCTCTTCTTTGTCAGCCCCATTCTGCCTCATGCCTACATCCTCCCAGTTCACAGGAAAATGAGCCATAAACTGCCAAACAGTAATACATTCATTAAAATATTGCTACGTTTATAACACCCAACAGTTGAGCCAATTGAAAATATGCTACAATGTGATAAACCACAAAGAAAAGACAAACAACTATCAAGGCTATATAGCCTTGAAAGCATCAATTCTTCATCATCAGCTTCTTCAGGAAGGGCAGTCCAAACATGTGGGAAGGAAATACATACTCCTACTCTGAAAACTGGTTCTTCTGCTTATTGACAGGTTGTGTTCATCATTCAAGAAGATGTACAAACAGTTTTGTTTCCTATTCCCCCTCTCCAGTGGCCTATCTGATTTTAGTACCAGTTAATAAAGTTTCAGCTCAGAATTCAATCCCCCTAGCAGAGACTCTAAACCCCATAAATTAACTTCTTAAGGGCATATGGAACACTACATGAGAATAAAGAAAATGAATGAATGAATGAATGAATGGAAAAGTATATAATACTTTATCAATTTCAATTGACATAATCACCAGGTTTTCTATGAAATCATGTCCTAATGAAGTGTGTGATTTTTTTTTTAATGAAAAGAAACATGTTGAGGATATCCTAGAAGTCACATATGTGGAGTTTTTTGTGAATAGCATAATATAAAAATGTTGGGGGTGTTAGTCTAACCACAACTCATTCCTAGCTCTCTAAGAAACAACTTCCCCTGCTGCTCCAGATGGAGGGTGTGTCTGCTGTGTTTATACAGTATGCCTCACCACCGTGCCTTTCACCTTTGGCCACAGAGAGGGAGGGGTTGGGAGCAGGAGTAAAGCTGATGAACAGAGGAACAGAGATGAGAGGCCGAGAGGGCCCCGTGAAAGACCTGCACACACAGAGCAAGAGTACACAAGGCCAAAGGTCTTGACAGCTTTCTGGTTCCTGGTTCCACCCTCACCCTCAGTTCCTGCCCATTGGTTCCGAGAGACTTCCCATAGCTTTCCAATAAAATCTGGGGTGTTTTTCCTCTTTAGGCTAGCTCCAGTAGGTTTTTGAACATATTTTACATGGAAATTTTTAACAAACATAGATTTTTAAAAAGTTTGTCTTTTGACCAGTGCACAGCCATGGATTTTCAGCTCATTCAACTTTAAAGAAAATCTTAAGAGTGACTAATTTTGGTCTGAGCACATCTGGAAGTTCTGCGATGACTGTCACTTGAACAAGAATTTGCTCTTGTGCTACATAGGAAAGTTTTAGTTAAAGCTGACATTTTCACCGTGGATAATGTGAGTGGTGCAATTTGTGATGTTCCTGGGATTTTAAAATAAAGATTTCTCCCCTGAATTTCTCAGCAATAATTAGATGTCTAATTAGTTGCTGCAGTCCATAGTGAGTCAAACCATCAGCAGACTTGAAAATACTGAACTTTACCTCTTGGTTTTAATGGTCTCTATGTACTCTATATTTAAGTGTTTCTAGCACTCATTGAAGTAGTCCTGGAGGAAAAAAAAAAAAAAGAAACATTTTCTATCTGACCATTGTTTTCTAACCTTGATTAATGCCCCAAGCCTTCTTTTCTTTTTCTTTTTTAAAGAAAACAAAACAAAACTCCTGTGAAAACCTCCCTATTATTTAAACATTTGTATTATTTTACCTGCCATAACAAAGCACCACAGACTGGGTGGCTTAAACAACAGTAGTTTATTTTCCCACAATTCTTGAGGCTAGCAGGCCGAAATCAAGGTGTCAGTAGGGTTAGTTTCTTCCGAGGCCTCTCTCCTTGGCTTGCAGATGGCTGTTTTCTTTCTATGTCATCACCTGGTCTTTGTTCTTTGTATAAAGACACCAGTCATATTGGATTAGGGCCACCCTAGTGACATCATTTAACTTTAAATACCTCTTTAAAGACCCTATGTCCAAATACAGTCACATTCTAGGGTATTAGGGTACTTGTGTGTGTGGTGGTGGAGGGTTGTGGTGGTGGTGGGGGGGAGATAATTCAGCCCAGAACAACATTTAACCAATATTATTTTTTTTGAGTGTCTAATATGAGCTATTTTAAAGACTGGGAAAACTGTGAAAATGGAAAGTGCTCCCACCTACCCTTGCAAAGGCCCAAATCTTGAAGGACATATTTTATTTAGAATGCTGTTTAAGCCTCTGTGACAAAGAGACCCAAGGTGAAAATTTCTCTCCCACATTAGAGTCCTGAGATAGACAGCCCAGGCCTGTTGGACGGCTGTGCCATCCTAGCACCAGCTCCTTCTCTGGGCATGGGGTAACTTCTCTGGCTCTCACCGTCTCCCCCACATCACTGCCAGCAGGAAGGAGAAAAGGAAAATGCACACTGTTTTTAAGGGCATGGCCTAGAAGTTGCACTTATTATTTCTGGTCAAAAGAGAGTCATACATCCATGGGGGGCTGTAAGGAAGGTTGAAAAAATGTGATCTGTATCTAAGTTGTCATGGGCATAAATACAATTTACTGTGGATAAAAGCAAATGGATGTTAGGGAACGATGAATGGGGACAGAGACTATACAAAGGCAGTGACTTTATATGGGATAGTAAAGGAGAAAGGTGCCATATACAGAAGCAGCAAAGACTGGCATAGAGAGAGGGAAAAAGATGGAGTTGCACAGAAAAGTGGAAACCAGACACCAAAGACCAGAGAGAGGGCAAATGAGAGAGAAGCTGCCTGGGTTCCCAGAACTTTTGAGATCCTTATTCTAATCCCTCATGTTATAGAAACACTTTCTCATTCCTTATTTTTTAATCCTAAATTACTTAGAAGTTCAGGTTTTAGTTTCTTTTTAAAGTGACTTTCTTATTTACAATGCCCACTTACCCACCAAACAAGTATTTGCCTTACCCAACAATTCAGAAAAGTAAGTCTTACTGCTGCTTCTTACTGAAAGTAATTGCTGTAATAGCAAGTGGGAACGACGTCAACTCCTCAGGTGCTTGATAATATACACTGATATTATAACTACGTAACCACAGAAGAAGTTATGTGTAAAAGAGGCTGCAAGTATTAGCAGAGCTTGCTAAACCTGTTAAACTCTTCTATTTTTTAGTAAAATGCCCTTTTAAAGAAATAGTCCCCGTTAGAAAAGGTTCCACTTATATTAGAAATTGCTACCACAGGATTGTATAGTATTTTAGCAATAAGGTTTTCCTATATGGTATGATAAATCCACACAAAATATCCTAATCTAAAGTCTTGATCTACTAGTGGTTGTCGAAAGCCATAAAGCTCAGATGATCTCATAAAAGTTTAAAAAGGAAATTAAAATAAATAAATAAATAAATAAAAAATAAAAAGGAAATTAATTTACTTTATTTTCTAGATAGGTTTCTTAATGGTGGTTCATACATTACTTGTAGTTAAAAAGAAATCTGAGATTCTAAAATTAGTTCACTCTGTAATGATGTCAGTGGAAATTCACCTGAGACAGCTCGATTTTGCTTATGGGTATTTGGACTTTGGCTATCCAGCATCCATTCCTCCTTCTTAACAGCACCCCAGGGTCCTTTGGGAAATGACTCCTGCTTTGGAAATACTCTAGGTAAAATGGTCAATTCAGGTCCCTTCCCTTCCATTATGGATGAGAAAGGGGAGTTTTAGGCTCTTTCCACCAGACCCTTTCACTCAACAACCAGATGGAGCGGGAGGCCAGCATCTGATGTAAGCTAGGTCAAGTTAAAGCTCACTCCTGGGAATTTAAATCTTGAATAGAGTGAAAATGAAACTGACCTTGGTAGGATTTACTCATTCCTGCACCAGCACTCTTCTCATTGAATTTAGGCCCAGAGCCCCAAAGATAAATGTCATGAGTTCTCATATAATTCCATTGTCCTTAAATTTAGCAGAGTTGATTTTTGTTGTTTTCAATACAAGAGCCCTAACTGATTCACCTTCTATCTACTGATTTATAAATTGACCATATTGAACTATGATATAAAGATTGAAAAAAAAGAAACCAAACACACACAACAACCCTATAGACTATGAAGGAACTCAGACAGCAAGTGCCAACAATTGAAAAGACAGATAAAAAAAGAAGTGTGAATAAAGTTGCTGCAAATTTTCTCAAAAATTTAAGCAATCTTTATAAACATGGTATTTGTCTCCAATAGAAAAGAAAAAGAGAATGTATCAAAGAAAAAAAATAGTTCAACTTTATCAGTAATTAAAAATAAATAAAACTTTTCCCCATAAAATTGAAAGTGATTTAAAACATCAATACTGTTGAGAGAGGGTCGAGATGAGCATTTTCATGAACTTCTAGTGGGTGTATAAATGATGAGTCTTCAGAAAAGCAATATGGCAATATGTAAGAAGAACCATCAAAATATTCATATATTGTACAAGCTAGGCAAGCAGAAATAGTATGAAGGTTACAGAATATGGGACTTTATATATAAACAGATCTTACACAATTGTGGGGAAAGCTGGAAAAATGAAAGCAAGACAAAGATCTGATAATCAGAGAGAGACTCACTAACTAGTCCTCAAGCACTAGGGTAGGTGGGCAAAGCAGAGCAAACCTGAGACATTGCTGTGGACATGCAAAAGGGGGCTTTGAATTCGTGGGGTGGAGTCTGGGAGACCACTGCCTCTGAGGGTCCCCAGCCAGGTGTCCGGCAACTGACCTGGGTCCACTGTCCATCAGCAGGGCCAGCAGATAGGAAGAAGCTGGGTGCCATGTGAAGAGTGAGGACAGCCTGGATGCCACTGAGCTGCTGACAACAAAGACCTTCAAAGAGTAAGTGAAGCTACTGCTTACTTCTGCTGCCCAACTTCACATGAGTTCCCCTTTTGGCCAACTCTGCCTCTAAGTGTGCAGGGAAAGGAATTCTGGGTAATGTAATTCTCAGCTTAACCAAGTTGATGGTGGAATAGTCCAGCACTCATATATTTTGATCCTGTGGTCTCATTCCACATTTGGGAAGAGATGCTGATGAAGTGGATAATGTAGCCAAAGATAAAATAAAAAGATAACTACAGCTGCCACAGTTACAACAGGCAACATTAGAAATGAGTTAATTGTCCAACAATAGGAGAATGGTGAAATAGATTAAGGAAAGGTGACCAGACTTTCGTGCATTCATTTAAAAAATTATTTCGAATGACTTAGTCACATGGTTGTGTCCTCATGGTATAGAATGAAAAAAGTAGACAAAAAACTGTACCTGCATTAGAACTGCAAGTTTGAAAACATTTAAAGATTTGATTTTCTTCGTATACTTCCTTATACCCTTCCCTATTCATTCCTCACAAAGCAGCCAAAGTCATCTTTTTAAAAATGTGAACCAAGTCATTTGTCTCCCTTGTCTAAAATCCCAGCATGGCTTTCCACGGCCCCCAGAACAGAACGCAAACCCTTCCCACCATCTGCAAGGTCCTTCATGGTCCGGCCTCTGCTGGCTGCTCTAACTGCATCTCTAATGCCTCTTTGCTTGGCTCATTCAACTCCAGTCCCACTGGGCTTTGGCCAATTCCTAGCCTAGGCAAACACCTCTCCCGCCTTAATGGGTTGGCAATTAGTACATTCACTTATTACGCCCTTCTCCCTGGCTGACCTTTCTCATTATTCAAATCTCAGCTCAGATGTCACCTCCTCGAAGAGGCCTTTCTCTGAGCACCCCATCTGCTGTGACTCATTTCGCACCCCACTCAGCCGTCATTTCCCATCTCATTGCCTTGCTTATTTCTCCCTTCCCTAAAATTATTCTGCTTTTTACTTAGCAGGCTCGCTCCCTAGCAAGCAGGGCTCACAAAAGCAGGGCGGTCTCCTGTCATATTTGTTGTTGTAGCTCTGTGACTCCAACAAAGCTATCAAGGTGCTATGTTTTCACTAAATGAGTGGATTAATGGATGGATCAATTTTCTGAGTTTTCTACAGTGAGCATTTTCCATTATCGTAAGGAAAAGATATTTGGGAGAAATATAGTGCATGAAAGGCAATCTTGTGTCAGGAAGGATGTTCACCTAATATATAGCGTAAGCCCTCTCAGTTGTCATATCTAGTGATTATCCAGGCCTGTTTTGGCTGCTCTATACCTCTTATAAGATCTAGGTTGGAGTCTCCATTCTACAGAGGGATGTGAATTAAATGTCTGTAAAAACGCAGGAATCTGGAAATCATCCTCCCATGTAAATCGTGTCATACATAGCAGTTAGTGGGCAAAACCCATTTTACCATATAACACTCTGTAAGACTCCCAGGCAGCATGAATTCAAAGCCCATTTTTAGGGCTACAACTGCCTCCCCTTCTCGCTCAGTGGTTTAGTCACTCTTAGCACCTCTGGATTGCCTTATCTCCACCATCCACTCAGCAATAATTCTACTCTCTTCACATCTCTTAGCCCCTCCTGCCTCCATGTCCTACCCTATCATGACCAATGTGTCAACTACTCTTACTGGTTAATCCTAAACTCCCTTGTCTCTCTGTCCTTCAGACTCTCCTGTCTGAGATAATCTCAGCTACAGAGAAATTCAACCGCCTATTTTCTCCAAGTTTGTGCCTTGGCTTTAAGCTGTCTCCGGAGTAGCAAAATTTTATCATGTTTTGCCTTAGATTGCATTTTATGTTTCAATCTTTGGACGTACCTTGTTCATTAATTGAATGTAAAGGAAGAGGTAAGGCAAGGCTGAGTGAAATCAGGCTATGGAGCTCGAATATTTTCACCTTCCTGACCCAACACCACATACACACAAGGGTGGGAGACATTTCTGTATATGTGGCCAAGTGTCATCCAGGCAGCGGACACATGATGAGTTCACTTGTCAGAAAGCCAACAGCAAAAGGGGGTACCTACTCCCAGCAGCCAGGCCTTCAGTCTGGGGAATGTGTCACATTTTTCTTGGGAAAGCACTAAGTTTTATATATATATATTGGGCTTCAGAAAAGTCATGACACATGTTTGCAACAGATGGCACTAGTTCATTTTTGGAAGTACTGGAGTCATTCGCATCTATGTGATTGTCATGTCATTTGACAGCTGATAGTTCTAGCTTCATTCTAAAAAAAAAGTTGAGTGATTTGGTTGAGTTTTGGAGATTTTACAACAAGTTGAAGATGGACGACCAAACTGTGCATTTTTGCCATATTTTACTGTTTTACTTCCATAAAGGAAAGAACGTGCATCAAGCCTGTGAAAAGTTGCATAAAGTTTATGGTGACAATGCTCTACAAGAACATCAGTGCCAATGATGGTTCACAAAATTCCATGCTGGAGATTTTAATCACAACGACACTCCTAGGTCAAGGAGGCCCACCGAGGTTGATGACAACAAAATAAAGGCATTGATTGAGTCAAACCCACGTTACATGACATGAGAGATTGCAGAAACATCAAACATCCATCATTTAAGTGTTCATGACCACCTGAAGAAGCTGGGATACGTAAGCAAGCTCCATATTTGGGTTCCGCATGAACTCAAAGAAGTTCATTTGACAGCGCTTATAAACATCTGCAATACGCTCATTAAATGTGAGGAAAACTATTCTTTTTTGAAGCGACTGATAACTGGTGATGAAAAGCGGATTGTTTACAACAGTGTGGTGTGCAAATGGTCTTGTTCCCGACATGATGATTCACCTCAAACGACATCGAAAGCAGACATTCATCAGAGGAAGGTTATGTGCTCAGTGTGGTAGGATTTTTAAGGCATTGTGTTTTTCGAGCTCCTACCAAGGAACCAAACAATCAATTCAAATGTGTACTGTTGGCAATTGGACAGTTTGAACAAATCCATCATCCAGAAACGTCCAGAGCTTGTTAATTGTAAAACAGTTGTGTTCCATTGTAACAATGCGAGACTACACACAAGGTTGATCACCCGTTAAAAATTATTGGAGCTTGAATGGGATGTGTTGCCACACCCACCATACTCGCCTGACCTTGCACCCTCAGACTTCCACTTGTTTCGCTCTCTTCAAAATTCCTTGTGTGGTATAACATTCAATTCAGAGGAGGCTGTAAATCAGCACCTTATTCTGTTTTTTTGCAAATAAAGACAGGTCCTTCTATGAATGAGGAATTATGAAGCTCACTGAAAGATGGCAAAAGATTACCAAACAAAACGGGCAATATATCATTGATTGATCTTTGTTCTTTATATACATAAATGACTTTTGAGTAACATAGACAAAATACATCATGACTTTTCTGACAACCCAATATATAAAAATCATCAGAGGAGAGCTTTCATTAGGTTTCATTCAGTAGGTGGAGTAAACAGGTAAACCTACTTTTCAAACATTCGTTTTGGGGACTTGACAATTTTTTTTTCCAAAATAATCCATGAAAAACTTCTAATACTCTCCTACGGTTGATGGCTTTAACTGTCTTTAACAAGCATGAATTCCAGTGAGGGCAGATAAATAGACAACTTTATGGCATGTATCTTAACAGCATGGTCTGTGTTGTGCTAACCCAACTGTGAATTTTATGGCCAATGAAACTCTGTGTGTGACGGGTTTCTTTTTTAGACTCGGAAACTGGCAGCTATTTTGTTCAGTTTTATGGTTGTATAAATTTTGATGTCAACCACAGAAATTTTTCGTGCTTTGCATGTTCCCGTAAGGGAAAGTGCACAATCATTAGAACATGGCCACAGAGAACCTCCTCTTGCCTATTAATGGGCTACTGGAGAAAAAGCACCCTGTTGGAGCTGCTGATTTCACTATAAATTGGTGGATACCCATTTCCGCTGGGCCCACAGCATTCCCAGTCAATCCTACTTCCCCTCACTTCTTCCTCTTATTCTCAACAATGATTGCTTCAAAACTTCTCTACTATCAAAACCCCATTTCTCTCTTCACTCTCAGAAAGATACTATGTCTTACTTGGCATTGAAAATAGAAGCCATCTGAAAAGTGCTCTCTCCATTCTCCCTACAATTATGCAAAACTACTGTAATCTAGAGCCAATTCTTCTGCCTTCCTTTTCATTGCCATAGGAGAGGTCTCCCTCTTCTGTGTAAAGTTTATCACTCTGTGGCAGCGTTTTTGTAAATCCCAACGATTCCTCACTTACGGATGCTCATGCCCTTGTGTGTGAGTATCAGGCTGTTCTCGCTCTATATACTCTATCTACCTGGCCAGTCTCACTTCCTAATGAACCCCAAATTGATATCCTCAGCTCCTTCCTGAGCTCCAGACAGTTCCACTCAGCAAATACAGAACTAAACATATCATTAGCTACTACCCCCACCCTCCTTTTCTTCCTCTTTTTTCTGTCATAGCAAATGACATTGCTACCTGACCATTTTTGCCCAAGCTAGAAAAGTAGTCAGCTTGACTCCCATCTGTTCATATACTCAATTATTATCTTTCTCTTTTCTTAACACTTGACGATTCCGTCTACTTCTCCTCATTCACAGTGCCATAGCTGTGGCCCAAGACACCGTCGTCTCTTGTCTGGCTAACTGTAACAACCTTCTAGCTGGTCTTGAATTCATTGTTCTCTCTGAAGCCTAAGGAATTATAATATAACACTTTAAAAATGTCATTTCCCTGCTTACAATTCTTCAATATCTGTCCATGGCCCTTCAGATAAAGTCAACGTTTTATGTCAGAGCATATAGGTATAGATAGTGTGACCATTTAATTTATCATCTGAATGGGGTACATTGAAGAGTGAGAGGAAGTGCTGATAGTAATTAGGAAGGAACAGATGAGTAAACTGAGGCTGTCTGGGAAAATGCAACATAAGGCCGCCTTATCGATAGAGCCCGGTGAGGTCTGGTCCCCAACAGCAGTCCATCTCTTGTGCCACCATACACTCCAGCCATTCTGAACTCCGCTCAGTTCCTTGAACTTGCCATTCTCTCTGTTGCTTTCAGCTTTTGGATATACAGTTCCGTTTTCCTGGGGTACTTCTCACCCCTCCTATTCTTCTGAAAAACTCCTATTCACCCTTCTGGCCTCAACATAAATGTCCCTTGTCCAGGGAGACAATTCCTGACCCCTGGATTTTTCTGCTGTGAGTTCCTAAAGCACATCGCACACCTCATATCATACCTCTTGCTCCTCTGCATTATTTATAATTACTTGAGGACAGACTTCCCAGCTGGACTACAAGATCCTTGAAGGAAGATATTGTCTCTGTTTTGTTCATTCCTATACCACAGGAAGGAAGCAGTTTGTGGAGGTAACACTTTTTAAATGCCTGTGTGGGATTAAAAAAAAAAAAGAAAAAACGAAAAAACATCTCCCATCTCTTGAAACTGCAGAAGATGAGATTAGTTGCCATGCCTGTGGGCTGGTGATCTTCATAACCCGGGGCAAGAATCGAGCACAGTAGGAATTTTTGAAGATTAAAATCCCCCCCCCCCCCCCCGAGATTCTGACTCAGTTGGTCTGGTGTGGGCCCAAAGCAATAGTACTTTAAAAAATGTCACCATGTGATTTTAACGTGATTCCATGATTGCACGTAGTCGTCTTAGAGCAGCGCCGTTCAGTAGAGTTTCTTGCAATGATGGAAATGTTCCATGTCTTTATCCATGGGGTAGTCATTAACCCCATGTGGTTATTGAGTATTTGTAATGTGGCTAGTGCTACTAAAGAAGTAAAGTTTTACTTTTATTTCATTTTGCACATTTTAAATGTATACAAGTGACTCGTGGTTTTGACAGTGCAGCTTTAGGACAGTGGCCCTCAAGTTTGAGTGCATCAGAGTTAGCAGGAGGGCTTGCTAAGTCCCACGTGGCTCGGCCACCTCTCGTTTCCAGTACTGTGTGTGGCTCTCAAGTGGGGCCTGAGAACTTGCCTTCTAGCCAGTTCCCTAGCGCTGCTGCTGCTGCTGCTTTAGGGACCACACTTAGAGAACCACTGCTCTACCCTTGTTAAAAATACAGTCTCTTAGGTCCCACCTAGTTCTACTGATTCAGAATCTACGTTTTAACAAAATCCTCAGATTATTTGTATAAACATTAAGGTTTTTAACTGAGCTATAACTGACATATAACATCGCGTTAATTTCAGGATGAACATTAAAGTTTGAGAAGCACTCATTTGAATGATCTTGTGTCAGAGACAATTGCCAGTTACTCCATGCATATGGCTTTTGTGCTGTGGAATTACTTTTATGCCTTCATTTAGCCCTCACCTTCAACTGGTTTAAAAAATAAAGTCAAATCATGTGTGTGACCCTACTCTTTGTCTTATTAATGAATCCTTCTCTAGATCTGAATTTTCTTCTTGAAAACATAGAAATCCTAACAGTAAATACACGGTGCTTCATGCAAGTCAGACTATGTTACATCTAAACCAAACACTTGGTGTTTATTCCCTCTGTGGTTTGTATTCTGCTTGCAAAGCTTTCAGTTTATTTTTTAGGCGTTTCATAGGTTGCCTTTTTTTTTAGGTTTGTCCTTTCAATTTCACTCCCAACTGGAACACAGCCCCTGTCTTAATTTCCCAAAGCAAGGCCTAGCTATAACTTTACACCAAAGACATGTGGCCTACGGAATGGAAACACATGAGGAAAACCAGCCACTGGGAAAGAGGGCTTCAGGAATTCACTGCCGCACCTTTCCCAAAGAGGTATTTTAACCTTTGGCTTTATCCTTTGATGTGTTGCTAAGACACAGCTCACCTACCCCACCGTCGACTCCTGCCTTATAGTTCACGTTTATGTCTCCTCCAGATTACCACCTACCCACAACATAACCCTCATCTCATCTGAGGACCAAAGGCAGAGGAAAATCTAGTTCCGCGCTCTGGTCCCGGTGGAAAGCCTCCCCGCTCCCAGTGTGTGTCATCATTGCAGTGTGTGTCTAGCTCTTTGCAGTCCTTAAAGCTCTCCAATCTAAAAGAGCTTTGGTTTTTTCTTTGCACAGTCAAAAGGTCCACTGAAAGTTTCCAATCACCCCCCCCCCAAATATTTACCTGCCTTCAGAGGGACTTAGTGAAACAGAAAGATGCTGCAAGTTTTCAAAACGTCAGACTTCTGCTGCAGATAGAGGATCCTTTCCACATAAAATAGTTTTGTTCGTTCATTCAGGGAGTAGATCTAGCTGTCAGAAATTCATGTATTTTTAGAAAACCTTAATGGTCATGTGTGCGTGCTGTATGAATACATAGAATGACTCAAGTATGAGTCAAATGCCCTCTTTTACTCCTTATTTCCTTTGTTTCAGTAATTCTAAAGTTTCCTGTTTCTTGATGTAATTTCAGTGAAATTAAACTGGAACAAAGCCATTTCATCAGACAGCACTGGCACAACCAGATATTCATGTAGAGGAAAAATGAACTTCAACGCATACCTTACATCATACACAAAAATGAATTTATGATGGATTATAGACCTAAGCATAAAATCTAAAACTATAAGTCTTCTAAAAGAAGTAAAAAAAATACCTTTGCAATCGTGGAGTAGGCAAAGATTTTCTGAGGAAAACACAGAAAGCATTAACCACAAAAGGAAAAAATAATTGGTAAATTGGACTTCATCAAAATTAAACACTTTCAAAAGACACTGTTAAGAGAATGAATAGACAAGCCACAGAATGGAATAATATATTTGCAAAACATATATCTGACCAAATATTTGCATCCAAAATATGTAAAGTACACCTGCAGCTTAATAATAGTTTTTAAAAATCCAATCTTAAAAATAGGCAAAAAGATTTGAATAGACACTGCACAAAAAGATACGTAAATGGCCAATAGGCTCTTGAAAAATGCTCAACATCATTAAGTTTTCATAAAAATATAATTTTAAACCACAATGAGATACTACACACCCACTAGAATGGCTAAAACAAAAGAGAATAAAAACTCCAACTCTCATATATTGCTAGTGGAAGTATAAAATGATATAACCACTCTGAGAAATTATTTGGCAGGTTTTTATAAAGTTAAACATGCACTTAACATACAATTCAGCAATCCCACTCCTAAATATATACCCAAGTGAAATGAAAAGACTTCCTATACAAAGACCTCCTATACAAAGACCTCCTATATGCAAAAGTTCATAGCAACTTTATTCCTTGTAGCCCGAAATTGGAACCAGCCCAGGTATCCAGAAACAGGAGAATGGATAAACAAACTGTGATAAAGTCACACAGTAGAATACAACTTAGCAATACAAAGGAACTAATTACTGATACAGCAACAAGGATGATTGCAGAAACGTGCTTGAGTAAAAAAAGCCAGACTTGAAAGAATACATATTGTATGATTTCACTTACATGAAGTTCAAGAACAGGCAAAACTAATCTGTGGTTTGCAGAAACCAGAACAGAAGCTGGTTGGGGCTGGGGGTGGTGGGGAATGACTGGGAATGGTCCGAGGGGACTGTCTGCTACTCGTATGATAGAACTTTCTATATCTTGATAGGAGTTTGTATTATACAAGTGTCAAAACTGAAACCTGTGTGTCAGTGTTGTCAAAATGGATCAAATGTACACGTCAGATCTGTACATTTCCCTCTGTCTAAATGATATCTCAATTTTTGAAAACTTGAGCAACTTAAAATAATATAATAATTGCATTTAGCCTCTGTGATAACCATTGATCCATGGTTATAGTAGTCAGTTCTCCTAATAGTGATCAACTACTCAATGGTGGTGATGAATAGCAGTTTTTATGTGTTGTTTAATTAGCTAAAACTATTGTTGCTATCACTCTTCTGACTTTTACTAAATATAGCTGCAGATTTATTTTAACTTTTATTTTCAACAATATAACATACTATAGATGTATTTTAGAAAATGACTGATTTTCCACTCAATTCCCTCAATGCTTTTTCACCAACATATGATTCCCTTACATGTTTTTTTCATCTTTATTTCCTGATCTGAAATGTCTTCACCATTTTATTCCTGGCCACCAAAATCCCATCAATTCATCACAGCCCAGTTCAAGTGCCATTTTCTCCACGAAGCTTTTGATCCCCCTGCAACGAACATAGCTCTCAAGTCTTTCCTGAACTATTGAAGCACTTTTTCTCTCAAGTACTAAGTCTCATGATGATATAGTAGCTTAAAATACATTTTGAACTTTGTTTCTGAAATAGCCTTCTTTGCTGGAGTGCAGACCACCCAGGGTTAGGCACACAGAAGGTACTCAAATGTTTAAATAAACATTTGAACTCAAAAAATATTTAATCTCACACAATGTAGATTTCCTTCCCCTGAATCCAGAGGATACATGTAAGAATATAAATCGTTTAAATATGTCCAGATAGCTCTTGCCTTATCTAGAAAGAATTAACAATAAAATCTGAATGATGCTCTAACTTTTAAACTCTTATGGTTAAAATGTATTGTTCTCATAACCAAGGTTATTTTATACATTACAGTAATTTATACTGAAGAGAGTTCAACGAAATAAAACAAAAGTGATTGACAATTTCTATCTTATTATCAAAAGACAAGAGACTGGTTTGACTGGAAGTACCTGTTTTAAGCAGGCACATCATGCTTATCTTTGGCAGGAAGTTAAAAGACAGCTCCATATTTCAAATTATTTGAGCCAGTGACAAACATTTAGACAATTCATTAATGAGAATATTTTATACTTGCTTTGCAAAAGTTCATTGTATTATGTGATGTGAGAGCCTTTAATACGTATCAGGGATCATAACTAAATAAATATATTTTAGTTTTCAGGTATTTTTGGTTGTTATATTCAATACTTAATGACAGTGGCTATCCTAGTCAGTCCTGTATTATAATGGCAATAAAAGAAACACTGCTAATACATGATGATTTATTACATTGAAAGTACAAACTCTGCTTCATGAGTTTGCTCATTGCTTTTCCCTGTTCTGGACATTAGCCAGCGTCCATTCTTATTAAATAAATACTTCAAAGGCCCTGCCGAATAAGTACATATAGAAGGTAGGATTTAATATGCTAATAAACAAACTACAGTACCTTAAATATACTACATATCAGATACTAAGGTAGTTAGTTAAGGATATTTACTGAATTAAAAACCACAAGAGGGCAGCTTAATACAATAGTGATGGAATACTTAAAAGAGTATGGTAGTATTTTAGAAGTAATTCCAATAAGTTGGATCATATAGATATAGAGAAAAGAGAATGAAAAGAGACACATTTAATACTTAAAAATTTCATTTATAATGTTTCTGAGTTTGGCATATTTGATATTTAGTGCACTTTTTAAGTTGATTTTCAAATACAAATGTGAATTAAAATTATCCTCCCCCCCCTTTTTTTTGTCAGTAGCAAAATTGACCAGAAAGTCAAGCAACTTGGCCAATATTAAAAAATGTTAAATGTTATCTTAGGTTCTCCTCTCTCTGTGGTGGCCAGTGCTCCTCGTGTAAGAAGGAATCGGCACAACTAGCTTTCTTTCTAATTTAATGGAATTAAACATGAAAATTAAGATGACAATGATAATCTCTTTAAAGTACTTTTCATAATTTTAAATAATTAATGTGTTAATTGGTTTGCTCTTTGTCTCTTCCTCTAGTTTGAAAGCTCTATGAGGCCAGAATATGTACTGCAGGGACCTTGCCAAACACAGTGACTAGTAGTTGGCTTTCAATGATTTTTTTTGTTGGCTTAATTAAGTAATTAACTGTAAATCCTTAAGGGACTAACACATCTAGACACCATTCCATGTTTTCATGTACTCAACAGCAATGCCTTCCATCTACTCATCCACGCACCTATCCATCCATCCATCCATCATCCACCCCTCCATTCATCCTTCCATCTGTTCATCTTCCCATCTATCTTTCCTTCTGTCCATTCATCTATCTTCCAATCCATCTATCTAACCAGCCAGCCAGCCAGCCAGCCATCTCCACAGACATCTAACCCTTAAAGACAATCTTCAGAAAGGGTTGCTTTCTCTTCAGTGGCTGAAAAAGAAACTTTTTCCGTAAAGAATTTCCAGTTTAAACACCTTCCTTCTAGAATGCATAAAGCTGCTTGAGTAGTCTTTACAATTGGGACAGCCTCCTTTTAAAAAGACTGACATAGTGCATACGGGTTCATTACGCTCTGTTCCCCTCCCCGAAGCCCTGGGTGCTGGTTAGGAACTACTTTTTGACAAGCCGAAAGATGAAGCCTTTCCCCTTTCACAGGGTTTATATGATTTATCTTGTAATATGCCAAGGGTTTTTGAAGAAAATTAATTGCCACTCTTGTGGCTTCTTAATAATACAAATATGAGCATTAGGCCCCTGCTCTGGACCAGGGGCTCTTCTCGCTCACTCAGATAAGCCCGCAGCTTTAACCGTCCCCTCTACGCTTTTGCTTCCAAATCTGTACCTTGAGCCCTGACTGCTTCCCAACTGGGTGACTTTTGTACCCACCTGGGTGACGCACAGCCACCTCCCATCCATAGTGGGGATGGAAGGATAGGGAAGGAAAGGGAGAAAAGAGGAGGGAGAATAGAGAGTTTTGGTGTTTTGTAGTGTTTACTTTCTACCTCTCCTCCCCCTTAAAACTGTGAGGAGAATAGAGACTTCCAGAACATTTTTAGCATCCATCAACAGCAGAGGTTTTTTTCCCCTGTCATCAAGAGTTCAGGAGGCGGATGCCATTCAGAGAGCCTGAAGGCAGCATGAGGTAGGCTGAGTAGAAATGTCAAAATCTCATTTTTAGGTGGATGAGAGGCTGGAGAAGATATCCCACCCCCAAGTTCCTCAAAGCCTGCGTGAAGCAGAGAGAAGATACACGTTTCATATGCTGAGGTTTGGGGATGCTGAAGATTGAGCCAGTGGCCTGGCAGGGGTCACTGCAACGGGATAACCTAGAACTGAAAGCTGGGTGGCAGAGGGACATCAGCCTCCCCAAGGACTGAGGTGAGGCAAGTCAAGGGCATAGTGGAGGGATGGAGTTGGGATGGAGGTTCAGGGATGGGGGATAGAAGGGACACCCTCAAGTCCTTTACAGTGTTTGCCAAGAGCAGAGACCAGAAGTCACACTGGCCAGACACTAAAAGGTCACATGCAGTGAGGATGGGCCAACAAGACGCCCCTCACCTATGGTCAGGGGGAGCCAGTGAGGAAGGACCAGCAGCCTGAGTCCTGCCTCCAGTGCTGTTATGTTCTGGAAACTACCAGCGATTCCGAGAAGGGACAGAAAGGAAGACATCTCAAGAAATGAGGACAGAGTTCAAACTTTGAAATAATAAAGTAGTAAACCAACTCTGGATATTTATCAAAATGGACTCAATTTGTTTTATACTGTAACTAAACTACCTGTAACTGGCAAGATTGTTTTCACTGTCATCAGAAATGGGATCTCACAGCCACTTGAGCTCAGTTTAGAGTATTAAAGTAGTATTTGTATATGATGGAAACGTGATTGAAGTTTGTAGCACCTACACAAAACGTATCCCAATTCTCTCACCTACAGATGAATTTTATACATTTTTGACTATCTTTTCTCTTTTCTATGCATGACACCAAATTTTTATAATATTGAGTTAATATTTAATGCTTTCCAACTATTTTTTTTACTTAGCCAAGAATCATGAATGTTTTCCTAAGTCACCAAATATTTCCCTTTAACATAATTTTTTAAAGACCTTATTTTTTTAGAGTAATTTTAAGTTCACAGCAAAATTGAGAAGAAGGTGCAGAGATTTCCCATATCTCTCCTGCCCCACATATGCAGAGCCTCCCTCATATGAACTTGCCCTACCAGAGTGGGATATTTGTTAAAATCAATGAACCTATATTGACCCCTCATAATCACCTAAAGTCCATAGTTTATTTTAGGGTTTGCTCTTAGTGTTGCACATTCCGTGGGTTTGGACAAGTATACAATGAATGACATGTATTCATCATAGTATCATACAGAGTATTTTCACTGCCCTAAACATTTCCTGTTCCACCCATTTTTTTTTAAAGTTGCAGAAAAGGAGTTTATTAGAAGAAAAAAATACATTTCAAAGAAGCAGAAGCAGGCCCAGGCAGTAGAGAATGGCTCAAGGGCCATTATTAGAAAAGAAAGTACACTCCGAAGAGTTTGGAGCGGGCCGAGCAAAGGAAGCTCAAAAGGGCCGTGTGTTCCACCCAATTATCCTCTTACTCCAGCCCAACCTCTGGCAACCACTGATCTTTTCACTGTCTCCATAGTTTTGCCTTTTCCAGAATATCATATAGCTAGAATAATACAGTAGATAGCCTTTTCACATTGGCTTCTTTAACTTGGTAATATGCATTTGAGTTTCTTTCATGGCTTTTCATGATTTGATGACTCATTTCTTTTTAGTGCTGAGTAGCATTCCATTGTCTGGATGTACCACAGTTTACTTATCCATTCACCTACTGAATGACATCATGGTTGCTTCCCCCATTTCAGCAATTATGCGTAAAGCTGCTATAAACATCCATGTGCAGGTTTTTGTGTGAACATATGTTTTCAACTTCTTTCAGTAAATACCAAGGAACACAATTGCTGGATGGTATATAATAAGAAAAGGTTGAGTTTTGTAAGAAACCACCAAACTGTCTTCCAATGTGGCTGTACCATTTTGTATTCCTGCCAGTAAGGAATGAGAGTTCCTGTTGCTCCACATCCTTGCCAGCATTTGGTGTTGTCAGTGTTCTGGGTATTGGCTATTTTATTGGAAGGGTAGCGGTATCAAATTGCTGTTTTAATTTGCGTCTCCCTGATGACATATAATATGAAGCATCTTGTCATGTGCTTATTTTCCATCTGTATATCTTCTTTGGTGAGGTGTCTGTTAAATTCTGTGGCTCATTTTAAAATTGGGTTGTTTGTTTTCTTATTGTTGTATTTTAAGTGTTTGTATACTTTGGATGGCAGTCCTTTATCAGATGTGTGTTTTGTAAATATTTTCTCCCAGTCTGTGGCTTGTCTTATTCCCTTGACACCATTTTTTGCAGAGCAGAAGTTTTAAATTTTAACAAAATTCAGCTTATCAGTCATTTCTCTTACAGAAGTGCCTTTGGTATTGTATCTAAAAAGCCATTGCCATACCCAAGGTCATCTAGGTTTTCTCCTGTTATCTTCTAGAAGTTTTATAATTTTGCATTTTACAGTCAGGTCTATGATCCATTTGGAGTTAATTTTTGTGAAGTGTGTAAAGTCAGTGTATTAATTCATTTTTTTTCATGTGGTTGTCTAGTTGTTTTAGCACAACTTGTTGAAAAGACTACGTATCTTTGCTCCATTGTATTGCCTCTACTCCTTTGTCAAAGATCAGTTGACTATATTTATGTGGGTATATTTCTGGACTCTGTATTCTGTCTATTATTTTGCCAATGTCACACTGTCTTAATTACTGTGGCTTTATAGTAAGTCTTGAAGTTAGGTAGTATTAATTCTCCAACTTTGTTCTTCTTCAGGATTGTGTTGGCTATTCTGGGTCTCTTCCCTCTACAAATAAACTTCAAAATCAGCTGGTTGGTATCCACAAAATAACTTATTAGGATTTTGATAGGGATGCACTGAAACTATAGATCAAGTTGGGAAGAACTAACATCTTGACAATATTGAGTGTTTTTATCCATGAACATGGAATATCTCTCCACCTATTTAATTCTTTGATTTCATTTATCAGAGTTTTATAGTTTTCCCTCATACAGATCTTGTATGTATTTTGTTAGATTTACCTAAGTATTTCATTTTTCAGGGTGCTAATGTAAATGGTACTGTGTTTTTAATTTCAATTTCCACGTTCATTGTTGGTCCTCAATATATTTTTTAACAGCAGCATGGTAATTGATCATATGGCTGTTTAGTTAGTTAATTAACTAACCTCTTTCTTTCCAGAAGTATTTAGATTGTTTTCTGCTATATAAAATACCAATGGGATAATGAAAAATTCTACACATATATCTTTAAGGGTTCCTAAGATAATCTCTTTAGAATAAATTCCTTTTGGGCTGGCCGCATCGGTTAGGAGTTGGCTTAAGAGCACAAGCTCTGAGCAACAGGGCCGCCAGTTCGAATACCACATGGGCCAGTGACACTGTGCCTGAGCTGAGCTGTCGCTGAGCTGCCAACAGATGGCAGGATGGCTCAGCTGGTGTAAAAACAAGATTGTCTGTTTGATAGTGGGCTACACCCACCCGCAACTAAGACTGAACTCAGCACCTTGAGGTGAGCTGCTGCTTGGGTGGCTCAGTTGATAGGGCATGTACTCTTAACAACAAGGCTGCTTGTTTGACTCTCACATGGGATGGTGGCTATGCCCACCTGCAGCTAAGATTGAACATAACACCTTGAGCTTAGAGACCACGAGCTGCCAACTAGCAGCCAGATGGTAACTGGTGCCTTCCACAACGAAGACTGAAGAACAACAAATTGGCTGGTCCCCTTCCCCAATTCCCCAACACTGTTCCCCTCCCCCAGTTCCCCAATAAAATCTTTAAAAAAAAAAAGAATAAATTCCTTTAAGTTGAATTTCTAGACAAAAAGTATGCATATTTTGGGGCCGGCCGAGTGGCTCAGTTGGTTAAGAGCTCCCTCAAGAGTTTGAGCTCTGAGCAACAGCGGTTTGAGTCCTGGCCCGAGCTGAGCAGCTGCTGAGCTGCCAACAGGTGGCAGGATGGCTCAGCTGCTAAAAAAAAAAAAAAAAAAGTATGTATATTTTAAAACTTTTTGATACACGTGGCGAAGTTGGCCTTGAGAAATGTTATATCACTTTAAGTTCCAACTGAGTGTATAACATGCCTCTTTCCATACTTCTCCAGCAACATTGGGCATTATAGTGTTTAAACTCTCTTTGAAAAATATTTTTAAATATGAAAAAATTTTTTGATTGAAAAAATACCTTGTTTTAATCTGTAATTATATGATCCCTAGGGAGATGGTACAGTTCTTGTTGATGGATACATCTCTCTATCAAGGATACCAATAATTTACTATATGCTGCCACTATTTTCCCCACTTTAGCATTTTAACAGGTACTGAGCTCATCTGTGAATATGGAAAAGTGGCATGGTGTGAAATGTCAGTAATGACGAAAGCAATAAGTGTGTGTGTGCACATGTGTGTATGTAACCAATGATTTATGCTTCAAAGAACTGGTTAATGGACACTGATATAAGAGTCCTCTTTTCCTTCTCAATAAGTTAAACATAGTCCAGAATAGGGAAATCTATTGAGACAGAGAGTAAATTAGTGGTTGCCAGAGGCTAAGGGGAGGGGAGAATGAGGAGTAACTGCTAAGGGGGACAGGAATTTTTTTTGGCAGGATGAAAATGTTCTGGTAGTGATTGCACAACTTTGTGAATGTACTAAAAACCACTAAATTGTACACTTTAAATGGGTGAATTTTATGGTAGTGAATTAAATCTCAACAAACCCATTATTAAGAAAAGTCAGTATGCTTATTTTTTCAAATGTACAGATGATATTTCAATTTGAATAAATAGGGCAATGTGTTTTAAATCATTTTTCCCAAGGCAAGAAAGAGCAGAGGACTCTAGGCTTACTGATCCAACATTAAGTCAAGGATAATGACTATAGGTTTTCTATTTGGAGTGGAGAAAGTTTTCTAGAATTGGATGTGATGATGGTTGCATAGCCTTTGAATATACTAAAACCCAGGAAAGTGTACACTTTAAAATGGTGAATTTTGAAACTAAACTTACAAAGCAAAAGCTTTGTAAGCTTGAGAATCACTGTACTCAATATTGACCAGATATATTGTATGATTGTATCACTTATTGTACATGTAAACATGACTTGTGCTGTTGTTGTCTATTTAAACGTATGCTCAATTGTAATCTGTAGGATTGTAATTCTTAATGTAAAAGTATTTCCTCAAACACCAAAAATGATAAATAAGACTCAATGGGACCTAATAAATAGACAGCATGCAAAAAAAAAGGTGAATTTTATTGTATGTAAATTATATCTCAATTTATAAAGTTGTTTTTTTTTTAAAGGTTGGCACAGAATTACTATGTGACCCAGCTATTCCACTCTTAGGTGTATACCCAAGAGAAATGTAAACATGTGTCTATACAAAAACTTGTAACAAATGTTTATAGCAGCATTATTCATAATAGTGAAAACATCCAAATGTCTATAAAAATAAATGAAATACTGATACATGCTGCAATAGGATGAACCTTGAAAACATTATGCTGAGTGAAAGAAGCCAGTCACAAAAGACCACATAATTGTATGATTCCATTTATGTGAAATGTCCAGCAATGGCAAATTTATAGAAGTAGAAATTAAATTGATGGTTGTCCTGGGAGGAAGAGGGAAAATGGAGAGTGACTGCTAA